TGGGGGTGTTATAATGTGACGGTCAATCCCACTATTCGTTGGTAAAAGAGTAGCCCAAGAGTTGGCGGTGGGCGATAATGGCCAGCTGCCTTCCCTCTAGTCTTACACTGCTAAATTGGGGACGGCTAGCGCAGATAGCCCTCGTGTAACTTTGCGCGACATTCAAAACAGACAAACAGATTGAAGACACATAATAGGTCAATTAAGCAAACAGACAGATTTATTCAGAGAACGGACATGGCAGTCAATATGATAGAAGATCACTCTATTTTTGACCCAAACGTTAAAATGTCAAATTGACTTTGATTTTTTTAATTAAAAAAAATATCCATGAATAAATATTCTTTGTAAATATAAGCATTAATTAACAGAGATTTTTAAAGTGTTTGCGAACGAGCTTTAAAAAGTTCTCGCACATATGTAAATAATTTCTACTGTATTGGTGATTGGCTCTAATTTACTTCTAGTCAGTTTTTGTACTTTCCGCAGCATGAAAATATTAAACAGAAACATCCGGTTGTCAGAATTTTTTCATCTATAATTGCTTTGCACGAGTTTTTTGAAATTTAAATATTTTTCTATTTTGTTTCTTCTCCTTTGTTTTTCTGCAGAAATGTGCACTATAAGCATCTTGAACTAAGAGTAATCCTAACATTTTTATTTTTAACATGTTAAAAAATGTGTGCAACTAAAAGTTTAACCGTCTATTTTAAGTAATTCTTAAAAGTTAAATTGCCCAAAAAAATTTACAAAAAATTTTTTTTCGTATTTGTTGTCACTTACCGTCTTTTGATACAACTCTACAACGTGCAAGATCTGCTTTGTTTGCGACCAGAATGATAGCTTTCTGAGTTAAGCTTTTTCCCCTGCATTGTTCGGACTGCTTGCTACAAAAGTATCGCAGGGATGTAATTATTCTTGCTGCTGCCTGGAAGCTCCGCCTGTCGGTTACTGAGTATACTACAACGAAAGCTTGGGTTGTTGTGAAGATGTCCTCGTCAAACTGCTGGAAAAGCATGAAAATAGTCATGGTAAACATAGTGATTTGATAATAAACTAGCAGTTGTGTGCACATAAATCATATTTATATCGTAATCTTAAAACAGTGTATAAAACCTTACAATTATATGTGCAATTTTCAAAAAGTGAAGCTGTTATGCTAAAATTTTGTGTTGAAATAAATTTTAATTCCGGCATTCAATATACGCACTTCGTCAAACCAAGTACAACACAGTGAATCGAGACTAAATGGTAGAAAATCAAATACCGTAACATAATTATTACAATATGTCACCACTTTAAGGTCACTCTCGTCGTAAGAATTATTATTTCCTAAGGATATCTAACACAAATATGAGTATCAAGCATGTCCTTGCGATAAAGAGATGACGTAATAAACGTTTCTTTGTACATATGTCCATGTTGATTTTTATTCTGCCAAGACAAGATTTACGACCCTTTCAAAAACTGATTTATAGAACTAATATTATTAATTGTCTGTGTAAGGTAGTCGATTAATATTTAATAATTAATTATGTTACTGCTGCTCTTAGTAAGTAATGACTTACGTTTGGATATGTATGGAGATGGTGATATAATGTAGATATAGTGGAACTTAAATTCGAGAAAGTGTCATGTTCTTCATTGTCACTTTTTTTACATTTGTAGGTTAACGATATGAAGCATACAGCTGACCTTTAGAAAGGTAAACTGGGTGCGTTTGACCTTTATCAAAAACAAAAGTGATCCTTTAATTGAAAGCCTGTGCGATATTTCTCTTTATTTGCTTTGCTTTTAATTGTGAAAAGTGTAGTTTCAGCTGGACTTTCTCCCCTGCGGTTTTCACACTCTTTAGAATTAATAAAAGTGTGGTTTCAGCTGGAACTTCTCCCCTGAAGTTTCCCCACACTTTAGAATTAATAAAAGTGTAGTTTCAACTGGACTTTCTCCCCTGAGGTTTCCATACATTTAGAATTAATAAAAGTGTAGTTTCAGCTGGATTTTCTCCCCTGAGGTTTCCACACATTTAGAATTAATAAAAGTGTAGTTTCAGCTGGACTTTCTTCCTGAGGTTTCCACACACTTTAGAATTAGTAAAAGTGTAGTTTCAGCTGGACTTTCTCCCTGAGGTTTCCACACTCTTTAGAATTAATAAAAGTGTAGATCCAGTAACCTAAAGTAGAAGAAGCCTGACCTTTCTCGATAACATTGTGACTCTTTACTTCCAAAACTTGAGCTGAGTTACCATTCGCTTCTGTTAGATTAGCCTTGATTATCTTTCTTGAGGGCGTATTTGTATTGGGTGATGAATATCAAGCAGTGGGTCTTTATAAAAAAGAAACAGCTAACGAGATGAAAAGATATACTATTTTTTACCATGTCCTTAGCAGTTTGTTCTTTGGCGTTCTTTTTTAGTATTAGCATAGTGAAATAAAGGTTAATTTTTCTTAGAGGCTGTTAGCGACGAAGAGCATATTAGTAACAGAATTGACGACACTCTTTCCTGGAACGTATGACGTCACTATTTACACAAAGAACAGTGACGTGTATATTTAAGATGACGTCAATGTTTCGTAAAATGTAATGACGTAACAATGTATATTCATGATGTCAGAAAAAGACGTAACTTGAAAAGTCTTGATACAAAATCATAAAAACCCTAAAACCCGAGCGCTTTCAAAAGGTGGGCCTTTCTTTAAAGGTTTTTTTTTTATCATTTTGTAGTAATGTAAATGGTGGTCTTTGATGTTGTTTGTTATTAAACACAAAGCTACACAAAGAGTTATCTGTGCTCTGCCCACCACGGATATCGGGTGTCGAAACCCGGTTTCTAGCAGTATAAGTCCGCAAACATAACACTGTGTTGTAAAATAAGTAATTAATACACTAATCGTCATCTTCATTTTCTTCTGTAGGCAGCAATTAATACACTAATCGTTATCTTCATTTTCTTCTGTAGGCAGCAGTTCAACTGATATAAAGAGTTACTTACCCATGTCTGAGGGTTATTCTTCTGCTCAAACTGAAGCTCTGTTTCTTCTCCATCAAGCAAGATAGATACACTCTGTTCTTGATGAGCACCTTAAAATACGAGAAAAACAATTATAGATCATTGTTAAACAACTTAACAAATTTATAGTATTTTACACTTAGGATTTAAAACTGTGTCCCTAATAAGCAATGCTAGATATACATAGCAGTCAGTGTATGTTAAAATTTTACACATAACTCAAACTTCAAAGGATAACCAGCAGGTTTTGTAGCCGAAAAATTGCTTAATCAACATTTCTCAGGGTGTAAAGAAGTCCCCTGTAAACATGTAGTTTTTGCAATACTTCTTGATCAAGCAGCGAAAACCTCCGCTAGAAACTCCATTCTATATAATTGTAAGAAGAATATCAAAAACTAAATCCAAGTAATCTTATATACAAAAATAACTCGGAGTAACAAAGTTTAACCACACTGTAGACTTTTGTAAATATAAGACAGTAAGTTAAGGTTCGTATACTCCGTAACGTACGTCTGGAATACTAATACGAGTTTTTAATATTTGATTATTGCTTTTTTATTATTTTTGTCATAATAAGAGTACTTTATAAAACATTTTGTGGATTTCACTCACTCATAGAATATGTTTATAATATATTCTCATATATTGGTAGATTAACCATATAGCAGCATGTAGATATGTACACGTAAAATGTTATATACAATACTGGATATGAGTGACACGCACTTATTATCACCCCGTTTTTTTTTAAATGGTTTTGGGTAAATTACAACCCCCCCCCCCTCTCTTGGTAAAACCTTTTTTTTAACCATTTCACAAGCAAATTGTAAGCAAATGTTAATTCTCGGCACGTTCTACAAAATACTAAGTAGGTAGGAACATGTTCACGAGAGCATTTATTCTTTAAAAAAATGCTATTGTATCAAACATTATATGTATTTTAAATAAACAGATCATTAATAAAAAATAAATAAACTCTGTCATTCGGAACTGTTCTCCTTTTCTTTATTACAAAAAATGTTAGTATGTAGCTAAAAGTGTTTTTTTTTTGTTGTGTGTGTGTATGTGAGTGCTACGAGATACTTGCAAAAACCAGAGTGAATTATGAAGACAAATCATAAGGTATGAGCTGGCTACTTACCAGTTATAGTGATGGGATCATCGTTCGGCGTGAGGAACTCTGATGTCATAAATTGGGAAATTAAACGAGACTTGCCCACGTTCTCTACACCGAGCAGTTTTACACTGTAACGGTCGGATAGATTTGTCGTGCGATGCTGTGAGTTAGCACCGACCGAGAAAGTCTGATTTCGAACGTCGTCGACGAAAATGGAAGCTTCACTGACATTTGACCTCGATCTGTACCGTACCAAATCACCCAGATTCATCACCCCCTTTTGGGTGACACTAAAGTTGCGACAACGGTAGCAGTCAATGACCTTGTCTTGTTCCATGGACCGGCTAAGTCGTTCGATGAGTTGATTGGGGATAGTATAGGTCTGTGGTCTGAACTGTGTCCACGGATCTATATCACATTCTACCCACGCAGATGACTTTCGGCTTCGAGCAGGAGAAAAGCCTGACTGGGCCGTAATTCGAGACTGGCAAGGACCTCGGCGCTCAGTTCTTATACCTCTCCCTTTCTTCAGGGCTATACGGGCTGACTTCACCCTGTCCTTACTCGATCTCCTTGACGACCTAGATGAAGCTGACGCCGGTGTAGGTGACCGATAAAGTTGTCGCAAGTCCGGTACGCTGTGAGCGAAAGGACTTCTACGATGCACCTGAAGGGTGTTGTTCTGATGACATTTTGCTGGGCCAAGAGTCATGGTGACTGAACCACTTTCTTCAAGCAAGTTTAATTCTCAGTTTTTGTGAAAGAGGACCTGAAAGAGGAAATACAACAGTAAAGTTATCACCACTGCCTTATATATCAGAGGGAAACCTTCCTTGGAAAACGAACGATCGAAATTAGGTCGTATTACTATGCTGTGTGTTCTGAGGCTGAACGGTGATTGGTTTCTATGTTGAAAACACTATCCAATCACGTTAGTTGCGACACGGGAATCGATATTTTGCCAGCTGTTACTTGCATTGTATAAGTGCAGACTGTGGAATTGGCAATATTTACTAAGTGTCATATCTATTCATCCGTTTAGGCGTTGGAAACCAAAGATGTAGTATTGGATTGACAGTATAATTCACATAACTATCATAGAACAAATTAGTAGTTCACGTTCATTCTTACCAATCTTTTTGTTCTTGTTCATTCTTGTTTTATTAATATGCCACCGCGTAAGCCTTCTGGTTTCGAGTAATCATGTGTTATTCGTCAGGAGTGAACGCTTTACTGTAGGACACTCGTGCCCACTTGAAATATTCTCTAATTAAATGACTCGTGGTTTCAATTTTTAGCAGGCTCTTTCTCTTTGACATTGCCCCCAGTGGTACAGCGGTATGTCTGCGGACTTACAACGCTAGAATTCGTGTTTCGATACCCGTGGTGGGCAGAGCACAGATAGCCCATTGTGTAGCTTTGTGCTTAATTACAAACAAGCAAACAATACAATGTTTACTTGCCCCTAGTGGCACAGCGGTATGTCTGCGGACTTACAACGCTAGAATCCGGGTTTAGATACCCGTGGGGGACAGAGCACAGATAGCCCATTGTGTAGCTTTGTGCTTAATTACAAACAAGCAAACAATACAATGTTTACTTGCCCCTAGTGGCACAGCGGTATGTCTGCGGACTTACAACACTAGAATCCGGGTTTCGATACCCGTGGTGGGCAGAGCACAGATAGCCCATTGTGTAGCTTTGTGCTTAATTACAAACAAACAAACAAACTCTTTGCTATTGAAAATATCTTGATATAAGAATGAATTTAGAATGTTTTCATATTTGTTTACTGATTCTATAAGTTCGTCCTACTCCTATAGATTATTCTATACAACAGCTCTTCTTAATGCACATACATTAGTTCAGTGAAAATCTAGACTAAAAATGATTGTTTATTTTTAGAGCAAAGCCACAGCGGGCTACCTTCTGTGTCCACGAAGGGGAATCGAACTCCGAATATTAGCCTTGTAAGTCCGTAAACTTACCGTTGTCCCATCGGGGGACAACTAAAAATTAAATGTGATTTTATAAACTTCCAGTTATAAAGAAATGTTGTTAATTTCACCAAACAAGTAGTTTAGTCAGTTAGACCACGACGCCCCTCAGGGGCACAGTGGTAAGTCTGAAGGCTTACAACGCTAGAGATCGTGTTTCGATATTCGTGGTGGGCACTGCACAAATAAATCATTATGTAGTTTTGTGCTTAACTACAAACAAACAAATCGAACACAGTTTACTTTCTACTTACCCTAACAATTGTTTCATTATGATCAAGATTTGTATATGTTTTAATTAACTGTATTTCTTCGTGTAATCCAATTGGAATTATGCACATGTTAAAAATGATCGTGAAACGGCTTTATTTGTGTTTTTTCTTCTTCTGTGATTAATGTACATGACATTTGTCACACGGGTATATATTTATTCGAATCATGTCGAGTGATTGACTAGTTCTAACTATATTAGCATTTGGTAAACTTTAATTGGTTAAACTTGCGAGTGTATACTACTCTAAAGAGAATATCTGACTTATGATTCGTTTATATTTCTCTAAAAACAATTTAGTGTGTTCTGTCTGTTACTCCTAGCTACACGCACCTAAATACCGTATAATATATTTGTTATCACATCACAAACCAAAACATGTAAAGAACTAAAAGACCATATTTCTGTGTTTCACAGCGGTCTAAATACATCTGAGAAGCAAAACTATCCGTAAAAATGCTACACTTTTCAATAATAGCGAAGAAAAAACATCGCTTAGAAGATTCAATGTTTTGGAGTTCATAATATTATACCGTAGTACAGCGGAATATAACTTTAAATAGTGAGTTTAAATTATTCTACATTGATACTGCCAAGTTACAAGTGTGTTTTTCTACATGTTGTAGACACAATAGCAGAAAGTCGCTTCTTCATTTTTTAAGAAGCTCAGAAAAGAAATGTGTCACGTTTTTTATTATGTGTGCCTTAAAGGCATTCTACTGTTTCTCATCTAAAAGCTGATTTAACTTATAATATTTTTATTTCAATATGCAGACGTTAGTTCAAAGATCATGTGCGAGTGTTTTCATATTCAAAAACATAATATATTATAAACAAGTTATATTTTCTAATGTGATTTACCCATAAGTCATCAGCTCTTAGCAGGTAAGATTTTTTTCAATAGATTTTCCTTTTTTTTAATTTTTAATAATTTGTAGCAAATCAAATAACAAACACTGCCCATTTCAGATTTTTGATTAGAATACGAACATAAAGACAACAAAGTAATGGAATGAATTCGCTAACAACATTTGAAAATAATGTTCTTTAGAACTTAATGTTTTCGAAATATCTGAGAAATGTACAGAGTGGTATGTATGTAAAATGATATTCAAAATTTTTGCCATTTCAACGAGTCAAACTGTTGATCCGAGGGTTAGTGGTTAGAGTCCCGTTGCTGCAAAATCGTGCTCTGCCCCGGGAATCTTGGAGGCGTTATAAGAATGATGTTTATCTTCTACTACTCAATTACAGTTGCTCGAGGGTTAGAAATGGGTACTGTTGACCAGCTGCTTTCCCTCTAATCTGTCAGCTCAAAATTTGAAAGGGCTAGTGGAGGTAGCTCTTGTGTAGTTTTGCAAAAATATACGCAATAAACCAAAATACGAGTTCCTCTCTCCAGCGTACGTTTTGTATGCTCGTGAAATTTGGGAACGACACTAAAATATGGTGTAATAAATCAATGATTAACGTTATATGTTAGAAGTCTGATATTTGTAAATCAAAAACTTTACTGATAATTGGCTGATTGGACTAAACAGCTCGTTTGATAACAAAACACATGCTGATAAAGGATAATAAGGCATGAAATATTGTTTCTGAGGAACTTATTAACAATCAAGAGCTTAACAAGGAGAATTCATATATATATATGTATAAGATTCCTGTGTCTGTGTGATATACAGGTGTCTGAATGTATATGTTTTAAAATAACTTCCAAACTATACTCATGAACTTTTTTTCATGTGTCTGTGTGATATACAAGTGTCTGAATGTATATGTTTTAAAGTAACTTCCAAACTATACTCATGAGCTTTCTTCCTGTGTCTGTGTGATATACAGGTGTCTGAATGTATATGTTTTAAAGTAATTTCCAAACTATACTCATGAGCTTTTTTCCCTGTGTCTGTGTGATATACAGGTGTCTGAATGTACATGTTTTAAAGTAACTTCCAAACTATACTCATGAGCTTTTTCCCTGTGTCTGTGTGATATACAGGTGTCTGAATGTATATGTTTTAAGGTAACTTCCAAACTATACTCATGAGCTTTTTCCCTGTGTCTGTGTGATATACAGGTGTCTGAATGTATATGTTTTAAAGTAACTTCCAAACTATACTCATGAGCTTTTTCCCTGTGTCTGTGTGATATACAGGTGTCTGAATGTATATGTTTTAAAGTAACTTCCAAACTATACTTATGAGCTTCCTCTCGGTATAGGAAACACATTTCCCCCCACTTTTGACATATGTAGAGGGATAGCAGAAGCCATTTACAATTTATGTGTATTATTTCTTCAAATTTATTTCCCTCAAGGATATATAGACGCTGAGGTTGATTTCAGCAGGTGTATTGAGTACTGGCATGAGGCTGTTCAAAAATTCATTTCTGTACATGAAAGGAGTATCACCATGAACATAAACTAAACATTTATGTCGTACACGAGTGATCCAGCTGTAGGAGATATATATGTTTTAGTACATCTCACATTCAAAGATCATGTTCAGTTCTTTCTTTCCATTTTCATAATCATAATTGTAACACCAATAGTATTACTAATCACTGTTTAAACGAATTCATGTTGTGCCTAAGTCACGTATGTTCCGCTTCATTCTCCCTTCCTAAGAAGAATTCTACCTTGGAATGCTGGAATCTCTTGTCTTCTCTTAACTCGAAGATAAACGCACCACTCCATGTTCAACTGTAAAAATGTAAAAAAGAAGAAAGGAACATGAACTTCGATCAGAAAAGCAGGTGTATAGAGAAACATAATTCTTTGAATAAACTCTGTAAATCATTGTTATATACTGGCTATTTGCTTATATGGCTTTGTTACTACCTTTATGTTTTATGTAAGTCTCAACCAAATACGTGTAGATTTAGTTTTTATACAGTGAGTTGCATAAGTGTCCGTATGCAGTTGTGAGTTCGTTACTTATTCCAAAAGAAGGAAAGCAGTAAGCATAGGTTGAGGGATATACAGGAAGCTGCGGGAAAGAGCTACATATATTTAACTATTAACAATCCAACCATCCATGCATTGATCTATTTATCTGCACTGACTGTCAACTTTGTTAGGACTCCTCACATTTATAGAACACTCCATTTATTTCCATATGCAAAATACATTATCATGTGATGCATCAGGTGGTGCTTCAGTCCTATAAATGCGAAGATGTAAGGATGCTAACGGACCAAACCCTCGATGGTTGCTTCAGTCCTATAAATGCCAAGATGTAAGGATGCTAACGGACCGAACCCTCGATGGTGACTTCAGTCCTATAAATGCGAAGATGTAAGGATGCTAACGAACCGAACCCTCGATGGTTGCTTCAGTCCTATAAATGCGAACATGTAAGGATGCTAACGGACCGAACCCTCGATGGCTGCTTCAAAACAAACACACACACAGTTTATGCAAAGCAAACTGCATCCAGATTTGAAACTGTACCTTTAATAAGTTAAGACATGTTGCCATTACTATGTTAAAGTCAATAAGTAATGAAATATTTTGGGAATATAATTATGATTAGT